CGGGCTTTAGCGTATAAAAGACAAAAGCTTTGGGGATAATCTGGAGCTTAATCTTATTTGTCGCTTCAAAGCCAGAAAAGAAAGTGGGTGTCATAGCAAATTAACTTGTCTGGTTTGATGGGAATACATTAGTGGTTTAGGGACAAGACTTGCATGCAGTTTTGAACTCACATTTTCAAAAGATTAAAACGTTATTTATTTTTAATTTTTTACAATGCATTTACCTTCATGTGTTTCCGCAGGGAGCTGGGGTGTGTGTAGGACTTGTCGCACATTTTGCACAAATATGGTTTGTCCGACGTGTGCACGTGCATGTGTTTCTTACGATCGCTGCTATTTGCAAACCGTCTGTCACAGCCTTCAAACTCGCACTTGAATGGCTTCTCACCTATAAAAGAAAACACACGGAGAATTAGAACAGTCATTTTTTTACGCTCAACATGGATTTGTGTTATTGTATTGTTGTTGCACATCTATTCAATTAACACAACAGTTTCATGACATGAAATAATTTGTAGAATTTAATTAAACACACGACAACTGCGTACAGTAACCTTAATAATTTGACCAGATATTTATACAATTTAATAAAAACATACACATTTTATTTACATTATTTCGTTTCCCCTTACACTGTTTACAACCACAATAATGCATGTATAAAATGAGAGCCTTACCGGTGTGTGTCCTCTTGTGGATTTTGAGGTTTTCTGAGCGCGCGAACACCTTGCCACAGCCGGGGAACGGGCAGGGGAACGGCTTCTCCCCCGTGTGCACTCGGATGTGATTGACCAGTTTGTATTTGGCTTTGAAAGGTTTGCCCTCTCTGGCGCAGTCCTCCCAGAAGCAGATGTGGTTCGTTTGCTCGGGTCCCCCCACGTGCTCCACCGTTAAGTGGGTGACGAGCTCGTGCATGGTGCTGAAAGTTTTGTTGCACGACTTCTTGGGGTTGCTCAGCTGCTCTGGTTCTATCCACTTACAGATGAGTTCCTGTTTGATGGGCTGCCGCATGTATCTGAAGAAGGCCCCAGCTCCGTGATGCGCCGCGGCCATATTCATGTTCATGGGGCCGTAGCCGTGCAGTTGCGTGGATGCGTAATGGTCGGAGCGCGGGCTTGTGACGTGCCCGTACTGCTCGGCTCGCCCGTACACATCCCCCGAGAAGCCCAGGCGCATCTGGCTGTTGACCACATTGGACGATGACGCTTGCTCGTGTAGCCCGGGGAAGAGCAGGTGCCCCGCCGCCTCAGAGTGTCCATGTGGCCCGGCAAAACTTCCAGACGCGAATAAACTATGCTGTGCCCCGGCGGCGTCCCCAAACCCCCGATTTCTGAACAGAAAGTCCCGCGTGGAGTTAAACGTGGAGTAGGAGCCAACGTGGGTCGCGTGGTGATGGTGTCCTAGCGCGGCGTAGCTGGGTGCCTGGGACGAGAACGCTGTCTGTCCTGTGCCCAAGTCGTGTGAGCTGTGGTTGATTTTGAAGGCGCCCATCCCATCCGCGAACGGGTTGATCCCCAACGCCACTTCTCGCTCCGTGACTTCGCCTGTTGAGTGATGCCGCGAGGAGCCGAAAGTAGTGACTCCAATCGCGGGATACTGCGGTCCTGCGTCCAAGAGCATCTTCAGTGTGGACTCGCCCAAAACGACTGAGAGCAGAAATCAACAACTCACGCACAGATATTCTTCCTCCCCGCCCCTCTCTCTATCTCTTCAAAATCCACCGCTTTCCTTCTGGACTTGTTCTTCTTCTTGGATCCCCCTCTTTCTTGGTGGCGCGTCTTCAGCACACGCGCGCAAACATGTATACACGCGATATTGTCTTTTGCGTCTGATCTTCCTGTGGCGCAACTTTCACCTCCTCAGTAAGGCAGTGAGCTCTAGACTGATAGTCGCAATCATTCCTGCAGATAAATGAATTGAAAAGACAACACAGTCCAGCCCTGATGAATGGAGGAGGAGGGGGCGGTCACGTGAAGCAGGAGCGACGCTTGGATTGGACGCAGCGCGTTTCCCCCCAATAACATCCACTCACCAAACAACAATCCACGAAGCAGGGCCCACGCTTCCATTGGCTTCTTTGCATCATCAATCCCGGAGATAGGAAGAGTGCTGACTGTGGATTTGGTTAAAAGGCTGAATTACAACGAAGTTAAAAGACGTTTTACGCACGCATTACGCACAGCGCCATAGTAGTACTGCGTATAGTACATTCAAAACACAGATGCAATTTTAAACACTAAATGAGCATAGTTCATTAGTGATTGCATATTGTCAGTTGTAACAAAAGGGAACAGATGACGCTTCAGTTAAAAATGTAGAATGGATAAATATAAAGTGGAAAAATCAGTTATATCCTGTCACTTTGTCATTTTCAGTTTTTAACAGTGTCTTTCTTGTGCCAAACCTAATTGTTTTATATATGAATAGATTCCAGTGTTTAGAGATGTATAGTCTACATGCATTGCTCATTTGCATAACACAAGCCTTTCTGTGTGGAGTTTGCATGCTCTCCCTGTGTCTGTGTAGGCTTCCTCCGGGTGCTCCGGTTTCCCTTATACCAATAGAAACATGTGCAATAAGTCTAAATGCAATGTGTGAGTGAACATACGATGATGATCGGAGGCTTCATGCTCGGCGTCTCGCTTCTGTCGTCACCGTGAGTGCAGTAAATGAAAATGATCTCTTCTCCAAATCATCATTTTGTGTGACCTCGGTCTGTGAAATGCAGTATTTAAATAAAGATTTTACTTACAAATGTGTGCTCATTGATAGTCGCTGATACATGTCTCCTTGTTTTTTTCTCTGATCTAAATTTGCGCCCTGCTGATGGTTGAATATATTGTCCATTCCAGTTGTGTTTAAGTAAGTTTTTTCCGCGGGCCACTGGTGCATAGCCCGTGTGTAAAACGTTGTGGGTTGTCGAAGTTATCAAGTGGGATTTGCGGCGCTCTCTGCAGGAACCTCCGGCTGCTAGAGTTCAAAGCCACATGAACAGAGCTGCCATGCGAACCATTAAAATATCTACTCGGGCCACTTTCTGGTGCGCCTTTTCTGAGGCAACTCTTCAGAGACCAAGGATGGAAGTTTTGTTCTCAACTTAACACGTAGACTTACTCGGGCTATTTACAAACTGGGACGTTTTCAACAAGTGGAAAACGGTAAGACCTGTCACTTATGTAGCCCAACTATAAGAAGCGTCATGTTTTGGTGCTTTACGTAAAATAACAATAATGTGCAATACACAGATAATCAATGTGATGTTGGGGCAAGATAATGCCAAATATGTTGCTGAAGAATGAACTCGCAGCTGAGTTGTGATGCATTGGTCAAATCATAGAGTTATTTTGTTGTTGGCATTTGTCTCTTGTTGTCATCCTACTCCTTTCCTTCGGCTGAACCACACACAACTTAAAATAGCTCTCGAAAGTTTTGCATTTCGCTTTGCGCGCGGAGGACTGTTGGTCGTCGAGGAGTGAACCCTGTGTGTAAAGGGCATTTAATAAACATCTATCGCTTCAGACGTTTCCAAAAGCCCCAACGTTCGTGATGTGACACTGTCAGCACAGGTTGTGACGAGTCTATTAAGTGTTAGGGTTTCACATTTGTGTTCTGAATATAGCGTTACGTTCATAACACATTATTTATCACACAGTGTTATGCAGCTTGTTGGGGTTGTGCAGCAGCAATAAATTAGCCCTGGGCACTGGAAACTTCAGTCATAATTTATGGTCACTAATGAATTATGATAAATACACCTTTTAAATAGTAAACCATTTATTTAAGATGGAATTGAATATACAAATACTACGCGTTAAAACACACTGCATGACATTATGGAATTAGCAAGTTTAAATAATGATCATTTAAAATATCAACTCAACATGGACATAAACATGAACATGTTATACATATTTAATGTAACTAGGCCAACAGACAGTAGTACACCAGTCTCATTGTAGGTCCGTGAATTAAAAACTCTGAAAACAAATACTTTAAAAGAAGCTCACTAAAGGAAAGATAGAGAAGTATAGTTCCCCGGTGTTCACATGAGTTATACTTACAACACACACCCGATACATTGTGAAGTTCTAGCGCGGCGGCACCGCCTCCTGTGACCCTCTGCTGCAGTCCCCGCTCCAGAGCGGAGCTGCCTCATGCAACAACAGGTCCCTGGTGGAGATCCGACCGCAGTCCGACCACACTCCGACCACAGTCCGCTCACTACGCGGCTGCTGGGCTCACCTTTTCTGATCCGCGGTGACAGCGGCACCGGAGCTAACGGACTAACGACTGGATATGTAGATATGGGAGCCATTTAGAGGACACGTACGTGCAGACTTTATGCAGACTTTGTCTGTCGTTGCTCTTCTCTCTGCAACCGTGCTGTGCGTAACCGGTGCGTAAAGTTCCTCGTCGCGCGGTGAACCTCGAGATGAAGATATCACGTCATTATTAATTCATCTACAAGTTTGATAGTGGAAACAGACGACCCTTTCGCGCCTGTGTGTGTGTATGTGTGTGTGTTGCAATGGTACAATCAAAGGGGAATATCTTTTCACCGCGACTCAACCCTTTATCTGCGGCTCTATGAGGAATCTTCGGCAAGTTTTTACACTTTTATCGTACAATAATCTTTACATAACAACTCTTTTTGTCGAGCGTTGCCTGAGGGTATACGCATGCGTGCTGGCTGGTTGCTGTCACTAAGCCATTTTTCTTCACGTTGGAAACTGTCACTAGTGACGTCAATCAAAGCGTTCTGACCAATTAGAGAGCGGGATGATTGTTTAGCTCCACGGGCTGCAGCGCCTACCATGAATCTCTATTCAGTATCAAAGCGTCCTGCTGCTGCCTCTCAAGCGAATGGGATTCCATGTAGTCTGCAGATAGATGCAACTTCACAAACTTTTTTTCCTTTATTTTTTCAGGGCGATTAAAATATATTTGTCATCATCATTATTATTTTGCCTGCTGTCAAGTTATTCTAAAATTAGGGAGTAATGAGCGTGGATGCACTGGGAAGCCCCGTGATGGACCCTACGTTTTCCAAACGGAACACGGCGCTGAGATTAGTTGACTTGGCAGGGGCTCACCACCATCACCATCATCACCACCATACCCCTCAGAGCGTGACAGGCTTCCCGGGGTTCAGCAGCCATCCACACTCAATGGCTCACGCGCACCCTGGGGAGATTACTGCGGAACCCCGCCTGGGGCCGAGTCCATTCGGGCCAGAACACATGGGGCACTCCGCGGCCCTCAAAATCAGCCCAGCCCATCATTATCCCCACCACCATCACCACCACCACAACCATCATATGGCAGGCCACAGCGACGTGGTCTCCAGTCAAACGGGAGCAGCTTTTGGCCCGGTTCAAGCGACGTCGGTGCCTTATATGTCCCATCCAGCTGCAGGTAGGGATTTCCTCATCCGGAGAGATCTGACAGCTCAAGCCATGCCAGTGCTCACTGAACAGACTGCTGGTTCCGCCTCTCACCACGGAATGTTTGTTTCAACAACAGGTAGCTACCCCGGACACTACGGCCATCATCCTGACGCGGGAAACCATGCTCTCTTCTCTGGACTGCACCACGACCAAGCAGCAAGCGGATCCCCGGGGGGGCAGGCGTTGAACGGACAAATCAGACTTGGACTTCCCGGAGAAATGTATGTCAGGTCTGAGCACTTAAGTCAAGTGGCGAGCTCCAGGGCTGATCCGTTCTCCGCGTCGCCGCTGCATGGATACGGTGGACTGAACCTGAACATGAATCTGAGCGCTCACCACCACCACCACCATCACAGCGCGGGGGCCTTCTTCAGGTACATGCGGCAGCCCATCAAGCAGGAGCTCATCTGTAAGTGGCAAGAGCCTGAACTGTCACCCAAGAAGCGCTGCTCCAAAACCTACAGCACCATGCATGAGCTGGTGACGCATGTGACCGTGGAGCACGTCGGAGGAGCCGAGCAGGCGAACCATATCTGCTTTTGGGAAGAATGTCCGCGGGAAGGGAAACCTTTTAAAGCCAAGTACAAACTTGTAAATCACATCCGAGTGCACACCGGAGAGAAACCGTTCCCCTGTCCTTTCCCTGGGTGTGGGAAGGTCTTTGCCAGATCTGAGAATCTTAAAATCCACAAGAGGACGCACACAGGTTAGTAGTACTTATTATTCTTCTCTGCTTTGGTCGCTGTGATTGCACAAACTCTGCTCATATTCACTTCATATTCAGACTGTGTGATCACTAGATTCTCTGTAGCTACATAAACACATGTATCATTGTGCATTTAACATGGAGTAGCATTGGCCATCAGTGAAGTGCTCAGAGTGACAGTTCAGCCAAGCGTAACCTCTTGTTTACACCGCAGTAAACTCACTATCACTCACTATGACAAAAGTGTTATTTAGACTGGGAGCTGGGGGTCTGCTCTTGCTGTTTATAAACAACTGTAAGCTTAAAACAGACATAACTTTTATGACAACGTGAATGCTAAATATTTAGAATAATAATGAACATACTTAATAAAATTAGAAAGCACGAATAAGAAAAAATAATAGTCCTAAAGTCTGTTAGCTAATTTGATCTCTCCAACAAGTTGGCACATATCCCTCTGCCCTGTAATGGTACATACATATATATATATATATATATATATATATATATACACCAACAGGTTGTAAACGCCTGAATAAGTGGGCTAAGTGTGTAGTGCAGTGATTACATCCTCTCTGTAGAGTAGGTCACTCTGCAATATGGCTCCTCAAGTGTATCCCAGTGACGTGTGAGAGGAAGGGCCCAAAATGTCGAGTCACACTCGTAAATGGACTCATTCTCCATGCAGTTGTTGAACGAGGAGCACTCCCCCTCCAGTTCAGAGTCCTATGTTTTATTCATAATCATTTGCTCACATTACCTAAGTACAAATGTGTTAAATTATTTCTGTGTGTTGACTCCCAAGGGTCTTGCTCTTTGGTATCATGTTTAAAACCTAGCCCAAAGTATGCTCATGACTGGGGCTGCCCCTGGGGTCTGTTCCTCGGTGTTTCTTGTACTACACTAATATCCTTGATTGGCTCTCTCAACCCAACAGCTGAAGGTCAAATTGATATTCAACCCGCAAGTGTAATTAGACAGAGGCAATTACATATTCTCAAAAGCTTTAATCGGGTAGAGAAAAATCAGCAGTGGATGATTTCCGTGTAATTTATTCAGAATGTCTCATTTTTTGTGCCTCGTCATAATCAGACAGAAACACTCGTTAATAAGTCGCGTTTTAGACTGAGCTGCAGACAGCAGAGCAGGGGCTGATCTCTGTCCACTTGTCATTGTTTTGAGCTGGAATAGGCCTGCTACGTCCGAGCTAAAGCCGCATGCTCTGTTTGACGTAACATGACTCATGGCGTGCAGGCGCCAAGTCTGGCTTTGGCACTTTAGGAGCTTGACATAACTGTATAAAACAGAACTCTTTTCTCATAAGTGAAATCTATGTCATTATTAGAACAACAAAAGCCTTCGTCCAACAGTTGTGGGTTGGTTGGCTCGTGCGTAATGGTTCCTTAAGGTGATTTTTTATGAGCACAGATTGAAAAGGAGTTGAATTGTAACATTTATGTGTGCTACTTTGTTCCAGGGGAGAAACCCTTCAAATGTGAGTTTGACGGCTGTGACCGGCGCTTCGCCAACAGCAGTGACCGGAAGAAGCACTCGCACGTGCACACCAGCGACAAGCCCTACAACTGCAAAGTGCGCGGCTGTGACAAGTCTTACACGCACCCCAGCTCCCTGCGCAAACACATGAAGGTGCACTGCAAGTCCCCTCCGCCCAGCTCCGGCTATGAATCCTCCACCCCGTCCCTAGTGTCCCCCTCCTCAGACGTGGGCCGCGACACTGGGGCTGGCTCCACCGGCCTGTCCGAGCCCATGGGCCACAACCAGAGCGCCAACCTCAGCGAGTGGTACGTGTGCCACAGCTCAGGTGCCAGTGGCGCACACACTCCCCCCAGTGAGCAATCCACACCGGAGCGCTTGGAGGAGCCCGCGTACAGGCACGTGGAGAGCAGGGACCACTACTGAGGCCCCTGTGGACTCTGTGGACTCTGTGGACACTGTGTACTCGGTGGACAGTGTGGACATACGGACATGATGGACACTTGTGGCCAGGAAACTGGAATGTTCCAAAGTTTGGCACTTATCGCACATGCCAACTGTGTTTCTGGCTGTAGCCTACATGAGGATACCACTCAATTTTGTAAATACATGTATTTATTTTTCAGCCTGAATAGCCTAAACAGTATGTGTTTTGTATTATGGAACCAAAGTGCATGGAATTACACTGTACATTTGTACATTTTGTAAGTTTTTGATGTGTAACTTTTCGATACATTTGGTTTTCGGCGGTTGTTTGTATTATTGTATTATTATCAATCCAGGCCGTCTGAGCTGTTCTAAATATAGGTTTGGTATAATGTGAAACAATAACTGTTCAAAAGTGGGCATTTTATTGGTAGGCCTACGTTACGTCAGTATTTTTTTTTATTCTAAAATGAAGCCGCATTCAAAATGCGCAGCAAATGCCTTGTTCTTGTATTTTGAATAAACTTGTTTAAGTGAACAGTTTGGTGAATTTTAGTGATGACCGTGATGTTAAGAAAACTTTGTGTTGCGATAAAACTGAGAATCCAAACACTCAGATGGAGATGCTCTTTGTTTTGTTAAGGTTTATTTTCTCAGCCGAGCAGTGAGTGGACGTGGGCAGTTTGGTCAAAGCCACAATATTCTGATCCAGACTTCAAAGAACATTTTGTACAAAGACGCATTTTTTCCTCGACGATGAATCCTCACGGTGAATTAAGATTTCTAAAGCAATAGCCAAGTCAAACTCAAATGATACGGGGGGCCAAGTCCGCGCACTGAAAGGGGCGCTCTAAAGAATGTAATATTTGCTTCCCATGGGGTCGGAAACGGTAATCTGTGTTCTTTATTCCACAGACTGGGCTCGTATAAAGAAGAAAAAATATATTCTTTAGCTTCGACACTACTTTACAACCATCAAAAGAAAAGCTGCTGAAGCGCAGTTGTTTCGCTCTGTAATAGACCTGCAGCTTCAGAAGAAAGTATACAGCTCTCTGGACTTGTCGAAAACATTGTTGCTGAACTCAAAACAAGTGGCACATTTTAGAGAGTTTATGACTTTAGCTTTCACGTAGCAGCTAAAAGTATAGATCCAATCACGCTCCAAGTTTGATCACAAGGATTTCATACTACTGGCAAATGTAAAACAGCCTGACGTGCAGATGTGGATGCGTTTTGTGCGTGAGTCCCAGTGAAATAATGTGGACCTGAAGCAATCTGCAGTGACGTCCATGATGTTTTTTTTTAGGATTGTGGTGTTAATAAACTTATGCAATAGCTCGCTTTTTCATGGCGCCAACTTTTAAAGGAACAAGAAGAGTATTGGAACATTATCCGAATAAGTAACATTTAGAAAACACACTGAATTAATCCAATGATAATTTAGTCTCTGTACAGTGCATTGCTCTGATTTTTGATCTGCTTATCAGCCATGCGTCATGACTGTGTGTGTGTGTGTGTGTGTGTTTATATGTGTATATACGTGTGTGTTTTATGTGTGTATATACGTGTGTGTGTTTATGTGTGTATATACGTGTGTTTTATGTGTGTGTGCGTGCTCGTGTTATACAATTGTTAGTTATTATTTATTTTATTTTTTTCCGTGACTTTTGCCTCTAAACACAATGCCATTTTTTTATTTTTTTTGCCCAATTTTCTGGCGACGACTCAGGAGCCTTCTGCAGCTAATTTCAGTGTGAAAATATAATTTCTTTGTAAAATAACAGAGGCGTTAATCCTACTTCCGGAAACTGTGGCTGCACTATTGAACAAAGGTCTTTTAATAGGCGGATTAGCAGTGCTATAGTGAAAGCTCCGTGCTCTAACCCCTCCCTCATCCTCCTCCTCACACTTTCACCAGGTCACAATTATCAGACGTGGAGAGCTCATGCACACATGCACGGTGCCACAAGACCACAAAGGCAAAGGCTTTATGAGATACAGTCAGAGTGATTAAAATGTGCCTACTGTTGCCTTGAAACGTTGCCTGTTTGAATTTACCAGATTTATTGAATGCATCAATCACTTGTCGATTGCTTCTGAATGCACATATTATGGCCTTGACCTCACAAACCCATATTGATAAATGAATGATATTGGCGTCCTGTGAGTCTGCTTACACCAATAGGCTTATAGTTAACTGTTCATGTATATTCATATAATATTATATTCTTGGCATCTTGGAGAAGGCAAGGTCACTAACACACTCATTGGAGAAACACACTTTGTCTCCTTCGACCATGAAAGGCACCGAATTCAACAACTTCCACCGTAAAGCCGCTCAGACTTTCTCATTTTAATGCCGGTTTCACCCAAGGTTACTTTCCAGGGGATTTACAGCATCACGTGTGTAGCTGTAATGTATAGTCAGCCACGAGTTCCGTCATAAAGATTTATAGTGGCCTTAAAAGCTAAATTAACTGTATTCGTTGTGTATAAAAAGGTGAGCCAGCAGAGTAAAGGCAGGTTTAAGGCTACAGACTGCACTCGCTTTTGTGTAGGAGGCAAAACTCGCATAAGTCAGCGTCCTGAGGCAAGAAAGTGCCTTTACGCACGCCCCCTCCGAGGCTGAGGATTACCATCACGCGCACGCACAGCCCCCGTACAGGAGCTGATGGTCCCGTGTACGTGACACCTGCAGCTGAAAGGCTCACTACTGTTGGCCCTGCGCCCAAAGCAGCTGCAGAAGCACGGCCTTTTCTCTGCAGTAAAAGGCCCGGCGCTGGAGCTCCATCTGATGACTTCATTTAAATGAAACGAGACTTGTTGCTACAAACATGGATCAAATATATGTTTGTGATGTATATCATTCACGCGCACGGGCCTGTAAACAGGAAACATGTCTTTGGAAATGTACACTGTTAAAGAAGAGCTCTTTATACCGCTGCTGAAAAGAGACCATTCTGACTCAAATAAGTATTTTACAAACATAAAGGCCACGTTTAACTAGAAACCTGTAATATAAGGGTTTAAAAATGAGTTTCAGTGAGTTAGAGGCGTGTGCATTATTTGTGTCACGGGTTTGGATTTAGAGAAAAAGGTATTTCATGCTTTTTAGAATATAATCTTTCTACATGCGGGGCAATCTCAATATATTATTACAACATATATATATTATGCTTGTGTGGGTGTATTTATATATACTATATACTATAATATATATACATACACACATTAAATATACATACTATTATATAAATATATATTTAAGTTTAGCATGTGTGTGTGTGTTTGTGTCCCCGCGCGCGTGCTTGTGTGCGTGCACTTATGTGTGCCTTTGTGGAAGTTTGGTTGCAGAGAAGCGTTGTTAAAGTTCCTGATGCATTTGAAACAGAAGCAGAGCAGAATCAGTGTCTTCTTCTGTTGGTCTCAAACGGAAATGAAGCGTTTTGAGAAGAGAGAAAAGTCCCACTGCTTTCGCCGCATCATAACGACACACGTGCGCGTCTCTCTGTGGACGCCTCTGTATAGCATCATATATCAAAGTAACATATATATTAGTGAATGCAAATGTTCCAACATTATGAATCATTGGTTTATCTGCACTACTTCACACGTCAGATGGAGAGTGTGCGACAGGCGCGTGCACAGTGTGAGAGGCGCCATAATGCATGTGATCAGTGTAGCAGTTATCGGAGACTTTGGGTCATTTCTCCATCTCCCGCAGGAAGAACATTACGCCTCTCATATTTACATACTCTTTAATATTTGTCAAATATTCATAAATTACAAACTAATGAAAGGTTTGGCAGTCCTTGGAGATGAAGCTAATGAAGACAGAGGCGCGTCTGCCTTTGACACTTTTTTGTTATAGGTCTAACGCTATTCTCTGTATCACGCTCTATTAAGTATTATTATACTGATGTCAGGCCACCGCTGACACGTTACGACATCGGGATCACCTGCAGGAGGTGGCCACACTGTGGGATATAAATGGGCCCATCTATAAAGCCACTAGCCCGGATACAGGCCTGCTAAATGCTTGGGACATTAAAACGAGAGAGATGCTTTATTTCGGGCCTAAACGCTCTGCAGTCATTTGATACGTTTTCACATTAGCACTTGAGAAAACTCGATCTAATTCTTAATATAAAAAAAAACATACTTGAGACACTTACAAATTCCCCTTTACCAAGATATTTTTGAAAAGTGAATCTATTTTAGTGCCACAAATACACTTTCAGCCCCATGGAGCAAATCCTATCAAGTCTACTGCCAATAACAAAATATGTTGAAGATTGTAGCCAGAGTAATACAAGTTCTTGACACATTTTCAAAACGGAAATATCTGTTTTTGCAAATGCACTCATACCCAAGGCAAGGCAAGATTCTTTTGTATAGCACAATTCACACACAAAGGCAACTCAAAGTGTACTTTTTGGTATGTCTTATGTTGCACAAAACAGTAGAGCAAATGAGCTTTTGGAAGGTTTGGAGATGATAACGATATAAGGAAAGGGGAGGCAGAGACTGGAGGTGACATAGGCCTATATTAATTATGGAGGAGTGTTGCAAGAGTGGAGTTAATTTCCGCGCTGGCTCCACGCGTTTCTTCAACCTGGCAATAAAATATTCCACCGTCTGACCACTGTGTGTGTGCGCCCATGCACTCTGCACCACCAGCATTGATCACCACTCAGTCAGCGTTCCTCTACGTCACTTACGTCACTGCAAGAGAATATGGATCCTTGGAGACGTGTTTATTTGACAGAGTAAACCCCAAGCGTGTCAAGGTTGTCATATTCCTTCCCCTCGGTGTCCAATGCAAATGGCGCGCGGTAATCACATGCACGTCACACGCGGAGCGCAGGCACAGCAGCAGCATGACGCGATTATTACTATGTCAATCATTTTTAGGGGACAGTACTGAGACAAAGAGTGCCACACGCAAGCTAATAGAATTAAGGAGGACGCCTTTGAGCCAGTGTCAACAACGTGCATCG